TTCCTTAGTACCTTCTCAGAGAAGCATCTACCACGCTCGAGCAATCGCAAAAAGGAATCAGGAATCTGCCACTGACTGGTTCGACAGTTCCAGTGTTAATCCGGTAATTCCGCGACAGTCCGCAGTGATCAGCAACAAAACCATAGGAATCTGAGACACTCGGAACCACGGTGCCCGGCGAATGTTCCTCCGCCCCATTCGCGTTTCCTCCGCGTATCGATCACCGCCGCGTTCCTTCGGATGCGCAACGAGGTTTTTCCTCTCGCCGCCTTTCATTCCCGCCTATAAATCACTGTCAACGGCGCCTGGACGAAATGTATCTTCCCGTTGGAATCGGATTTTCGGTTTTCGACGTTCGCCGATGCGCCGGGCGCGAGAGAATGGAGAAAGATGGCGGAATGATGCGCGACACTGCTGTCCAGGTCGAATGGAGTCTTTGTGCCGCGTCCCCCCCGTCCTCTCTACGGGGTTTTGCTCGGCTGTTTTCGCCGTGGCACGGACTCATCCCTTTCCCGTGCAGCTCCCGTGGGTTCCGCGAGGATCCCGGGCCAACCGGAAATCCCGCGAGTCGGAATAACGCGGCGCAGCGTCGCGTCCCGGCCAGACAACTTGGCCCAGAGCGGATCGAACGGCTACCGATAAATCTGCTCGGCCCAATTTTCCGCCGGCGATATTTTATCACGCGCGATATACCTCCGCTCCGCCCGCGGCCGCAGTTTCGCCGATCGCCGCCTGCGCGCGTAATTGTTATTCAGTCCCGAGTGGACGCGGCCGAAGGAACGCGGGGGCGAGCGCTCGCCGATAGAGATCTTTCGGTAATGAAGGTATCGGGGAATTTTCCGTGTTCGAACGTTCTCGCCGGAATTGCGGACGTATTCGGTTATAAGGAAGGTGATGTATGGACCGTAAAAATCGAGGTGCGAATAGTTTAAGAGGAGTTTAAATGTTGCCGGATGAATCGATACGCGGCTGCTCGGAACGTATGATCGTCTACGAGTGTTTTATTCGTATCGTTCTAAACGGAACTAATGCTGAATGCCAGTATAAAGGAAACGATTGGTATTCGTGTTAACACGTTGCCGATCGGTGATAGTCGTTGGAATTTCTCGGGAAGTATTGTGATACGAGGCAGCTGATGGATCGAAGTGTTTAACCCTTTGCACTCGAGAGGTGACTCTGTCACTACTTGATTTGATACAGAAAAACTATGAAGTTGAATATTTAGTATTTTAAATTAAACTTTGTACTGCTATAGGGAATATTTAAGTAAAATAGCTTTGTCGCTTGATTTCTGTGAATTATCATTAAATTAGCTCCGAACAATGTCGTCTGTATCTCGTCGAAAAATGTGGAATGTTTTCAGTGAAAAACTTTCCAGTGCGAAGGGTTAATATCGTCAATTAATTAGTTCTAGGATTTAAGGTTAAACGTTACACTATATATTCAATCTATCGATATACGGAGACGTTAGAGCGCTGTATTAAACGTCCGTTCACAAAACGGTAACTCAGGAATCGAGGAAAATCGTGTGACCCAACGCAGGCCCTAGTTTATCACCTGTCCTTGCTCTAGTGTCAATGTAGTGTCAATATTCTCACAAAATTCCTACATAGTCATTGTTCCCAAGAATAAGTGTCACGCGAAGCGCACAAGATTCTGTCGGTTACCGCGTGAAATTCAATTCGAACGGAAGCAAACGAAGTGGACCACGTCCGACACCTGCATCAAGGCAACGCGTTAATATCAATTACACAGCGACGCAGCCTAGCTCGTTACTCAGCGCGAACGGGTTAATAACGAAGATATTTCGAACTGCGTTATTAGCCTGAACACCCGGTGCATTATCGTCAATACGAAATCAATGGACGCGTACAACGCGTTCCAAGAGGACACCACTACGTGCGTGCGTGCGCGCGTGCGACGACGCGACGCGGGGTCGCCGCTTAATGACGGACACACTCGATTTGGAAATTCCCGAGATTGAAACAACGCCGGCCGAACCCTGCGCGTAGTATACCGGCTGCATAACTGCCAGTTTCAGCCGCGATATGACGCGCCATGAATAAGTCTCCTAACCGCTCTTGTTGGGCCGACATTGTCAGCAGGTAGCTTTCAACGGTTCTGCAACGCTCGTTGTCGGCGGTGCCGCCGCGCGCCGTCTGACGCTCGTTATGACGCGCGTAATGAGAACGTCGAAATTCAGACTGATCCCTTTTAACGCTCAACTCGCTCGTCGTCCCTCTAATTCGCCGGTGAATGTCTCCCGCCGAGGATAGACTCGACGCCGATGCTGTATCGCGAGTCGCGGAACGAGATACTCGATGTCGAGGTGACTCTGAGTGTGTTTCGAGAGAGGAAGTCTCACTGGTTTTGTAGCGCAAGTTTTTATTTAGTTGAACCGAGTATAATATTTGAGTACGTCGAAGTGTCGCTCGTCTAAAGAAAACTGCCTCTTTTCCGTTTTTCCTCCGTGTTTAAAGGATTTTGTGAAGCAGTGGGGGAAAGGGAATTTGAGAGAACTGGCTGCAGCGATTTGGGGGCGTAGTTTTGTTATTTTCCGAATTCCATCGCGGCCCTGAATTTTTGGAAAAGGTGAATTTTGTTACCGGATGCATAAGTTTGGTATCTAAAAGGAGAACTGGACAGATAAAAGGAAAAGGGATTTTCTGGATACGTGATTTAGGTGCATAGACAGGAGGTTGTTTTGGGTTCGGAGAAAAGGCGGAAGATTGGCAACCTAGGAAAGGATCTCTACTTAACGATCCCCAGATGAGATAAAGGGGTATGTGGTGATGCCGTGATAACGACAATGTATCCTCGACTTTGGGATGGTTTATTTGATTACTTAACACCCGTGACCTAATTTGATGGAGGCGAATGCTGGATGGAACTGTGGCTGATCATTCCCATCGTCGAGCTGCAGAGTTTGAGGAGTGTTGGAAGTTGCGATTTGTTTATGTTAATGGGAAATTCTCGAGTCCATTTATTAATCCATTACTCTACTGCTCCATTAATACTTTCTCTACCGAGTTGTCTGGATTTGGGTGACACCGTTTTTAAATTAACTTGAAGGTGTTCTTGGTGAAATAAGTTTCATTCGATGTATGAGATAAAGTAATCGTTACGAAGAATCTTGATTTTATAGTTTCTACTTCATTAAGAGAACTGTTTCGACTACGTAGCAGTTCTTACGAATGTTTACTTGGCAGCCAAAGTGTTAATACAGCAGTAGAGTAATGGATTAATAGATTGCTAGACTGAGTTGTTAGATTAGTACTTTACTAGATTGCCAGATTTCTAGATTAACAAATTGCCAGATTGCTAGATTACCAGTTTACTACCTTCCCAACTTATTAGCTAACTCTATCATTGCATTAGTGTACAAACTTACGAGACGTCGTACACGTTCATACCTCAAACACTCAACATTCCGTTGAAAGTCCAAGAAAAAGATTTCGCCAATTAGATAGACACAATATTCCTACGTCGCGATTACACTCGTATCGATCTAGAGTATCCGAGAAATCGATCGCGCAACGTGGAAGATCGAATCATATCCAGCAGCGATCGCGAGTCGGCTTTAATTGCGTCGCTAATAATCGGTGAACGAAAGTAGTCGAAATCGTTAATTCTCCCATGTCGCGATTACAATCGTCATTGTATCGATCTAGAGTACCCTAGAAATCGATCGCGCAACGTGGAAGATCGAATCATATCCAGCAGCGAATCGCGAGTCGGCTTTAATTGCGTCGCTAATAATCGGTGAACGAAAGTAGTCGAAATCGTTAATTCTCATTATCTTCTCGCTTATCCGTGCTCCAGCGGCGGGGTCGTTAAAACGAGCCCGACAGGGAGAGGGGGCTCGACCTCGTGGCACATTTACCCGCTCGGAACGGCGCGCCGCGGCGCGGAGCGGCGGGGCGGGAGGCCGTTGAAAAGCGAAGTCGCATTCTAACGTCTGCCGCGCGCCTCCGCAGAATGGAAGTCGCGCTGCTACCCGGCACCTCGCTATATAGTAATTAAAGTAATGAGGGATAAACCGCCCGAGGAGACTCATAATTTATCCGTGACTGCTCCTCCCGACAAGCTCGTCATTGTACGCCGGGTTTGCGTCTCGAATAGAAAAACGCCTGGCATCCGCGAGAACCCTTTCTCGGCAATTTCACGAACCGCTCGCGAGAATTTGGAATTTTTTTCTAGTACTGTTGTCATTGTAGACTCTGCTGTGCGGAGATAGGTTTGAACACTGTGGATGCCAACAGTTGTACGGGTGATGGGAACGTGAGAAGTTAGGGTTGAGAGGATAGACGATTTCGAGATGAAATATTTTGGAAAGTAGTGATTGCAAATGGAATGAAGTTTCTGGTTAATCATTTGGGAGTTAGATGGTAGAATCTTCGATTTATCTGTGACATAAGTCGATAAGGGTTGACGATAGTTAACCCAGCAGTCCTATGTCTCAGACTCGACATTCTATTTTATTGCAACCTCTACCTCTTTCAAAAATTTTTTCCATATTTATTTGTAGTATCACAATTGTATCTAAAGGTAACATTTCAATGACTCCCAAATATTCTTGAATAAATAGAGCGTCGTATTAAGCTGTAATTGAATGAACTAACGTGAACCTCAAAGTGAGAAACCAAGAGCACTTCGGACCGCAAAGAGTTAAAAGGCAACCGGTGTAGAAAGCTGCAAAGTGTTTTCTAATCCGTTTCTGACTGGTAGTTTATCGAAAGCTGATTTCCAGGCGTAAAAATGTCGATGCAAAGAATGATGACCCTCGGGTCACGCGGCAGTATCTTCGCGAGCAAGGGCTGATTTTATCGGAACCGCAGCTCCGGTGACCGGTGAACCATAAAACCGATTTTACAACCGGTTGAAGGGAGAGGATGGGTCTTGTCTACAGCAAGAACGTACGATTAGTCGCGGGTGCTGTTCCAGGCGCAGATGGCGGTCGGACATTTTCATAAAAACGGTTTACGACCTTGGTGTTTCAGGACGCCGTCAGGCTTGGAGGACGTTAGCAAGTACCCGGAGCTCTTCGCGGAGCTGTTGGCGCGCGGCTGGTCGGAGGAGGACATCCAGAAGCTGGCGGGCCTCAATCTGATCCGGGTGTTCAAGGCGGTGGAGCAGGTGAATATTGAAATCAGCTTTGTTTCTGATAGATTCTAGTACTAGAACAATTACTGGGGACCAAGTGTTTGACGAACATTGTAAGTTTCCTTGGGTATCCTTCCCTTTTTATAATTAACACATTCATGTGACATTGTAGATATGTATGACACAAATTCAAAGTAAAATTACACAATCGAATGCCTTATTCTTTTTCGTAAGTTAGAAATTTCGGCTTGATGGATGTTCAACCCTTAGCACTCCAGATGGTATAGTAATCTATCAGTAACTGCAACTAATTTTTATAGTATCCCTAGTGAAAATGAACAATGCTATAACATTTCTTCGTGCAAAATTTGGATGTGTGGAGAATCTAATAATTTTAAGGTAGTTTCTTCGATTCATTCAAATATTTGATATTATAACTGGTGCAATATTCGAGCCTACAGAGTTCAAAGGGTTAAAAGAATAGAAAATAAACGAAAACACTAATACGAGTACTCAGTAGTTTTAATATCTACAAAAGAAATAAACAGTATCACCTAATAGAGAAATAAGGATGAAAACCCTCCGGAACCACATTTCAACCGTCTCGTTACTACTAAATAGATCAAGTGTCGCATACACGAGACATCAAAAGGCTAAACAAGTTCCAACGACGCAAAACTGCGGCGCATCGAACGCGCGATCGGGTTGATTTCCAGCTCGCGGGCCTGTCGCCGTTGAAAAGCGACAGATTCACGAAAAATCATCCAGACGTCGTAGTTCCCAGCGCGAAATAACCGATGCCCGGTACAGGGAGAACCAGGTTAGCCGAGTCGACCAATATCGGATTTAATAAAGCACACAAATCATGCATCCGCCGGTGCATCGTCGAGCGAGACGGTCGCGCGATTTTTGTCCGCTTGGATCCCTGCCAATCCCGGCCGGGACCAGCTGGCTCGATCCACCTACGTCATCCCTCTGCCATGATTTCTAGCAATTCCACGGTGCACCGTCGCCGCACCCCCTCTAATACCGCGGACTAGCAGGTGTTTACGTTCATCCTGGTTTATTAGAAGCAAGCGCGATACAAAATAATCAAATCTGGGTCTAGGCTGACTGATTCCCGGATTGAACTTCATTAAAAGAGGAAAAATTCAGTTTCGCGAGGTTCTTCTTCTGGTTTCAGTATTGATATTGCTGGTGAATTTAGCTGAAGTTTAGATTGGTGTCAATGTCATTTGGACTGATGTTAGTTTAATTAGTGAAGACTCGGTTGGGAAATATATCAATCAGTTTCTTTTGGTTATGACGAGCATTCTTCAAAAATTTTTATATCTGATGTATGACAGCTCTTGGGGTTGAAGATTGTAATTGCTAAAATTTAAAAATGGTAATAGTGGAATGGATGTATTTGAGTGTGTGAATAGATGTATTGATGAGTGGTGAATGTGTGTGCAATAGACTAATGACGCGACTGTGTGTGAGCGTGTTTTGAATGTTCAAAGCATTGGAATATTCTAGATTATATTGATTTTCTCTATATGTTAATAATGTTCGTTTTTTATGAATCTAGGATATTCCAAATATATGTAAAGTTAATGCATGCAAATGAAAGCAAATTCGCTTTCTCCTACAATAGTAATATAAATAATCTTCGGTGCAATTCACGTAATTGTAGTTTTTATTTGCTCGACGAGAGGTGGCGAGTTGCAACATTCATTAATTAAATCCAGTGATATTCTAAATTGGTATTCTGTGGTGTAATATGAGGGATAACAAGAAACTTGCGTAAGAATGCTCTACATAATTGAATCACCGTTTCCAGGACAGCCCCGAATATTCCGGCGGCCCGTTCCTTTTTTCCCTGCGCCGTGCTTGGTCAGCTGCAGGCGCGGGGTCTCCTGGATCTGACAAGCAGCCGAATAAGAGACGAATAGTAATTTGTATCGCGTCGTGACGTTGCATTTAAACCCACAGTTTTTACCGGCGGAACATTAATTTTAAACTTGCCGGGCTTTGCACGTCCGTCGCTTCAGCGCGTCTTTTTGCCAGCCACCCCTCGCCCCCCCCAAGCATCCCCCATCGCTGCCCGTCGTAAAATATCCATTTGGCAAGCGAAATCAAAAGGGAATCGCGCGGATGACTTCAACTGGGTGTTCCTCGCATCGGCAAGGGATTATTGTAGAATAGGAAGTCAGTTACGAGACGTAACTGATGTAGATAGAAGTTGAATTGTGGGAAATGTAATGTACTTGCTTATTACCCGTGAAAATGATTAAAATCTATTATCGATGGAGATAGTTTGAAATCGCAAATGATCTGTAATCTCCAATGTTCATTAACAGAGTTCATTAAGAATGAAAGAAAGATCATTAAGATCAAAGCAATCTTTCTCTAATATACAAAATTGAAGTGATTACAATGAGTCCCTTTTAATAATCACAGGCAGCAATTTCTACAGGAAAGAAAATTATTGTCACCGTTTCCGTAATTATTTTATAACATATTTAGAAGCTATACGAAGAACTTTCTGACCGACAACAAAACGAAGAGCCAAGTAAATCCTCCATTCCTAAAAAGAATATTATTTATTCCATTACAATTCACTAAACTCAGAAAATATTAAAAACTCAAACAGTGAACAGTACAATAAAATCTGAAATCTCATATTCATCTTCAACATCCCATTTCGAAATGTCATTTTGAACACTCGCGACGACCAAAAACGTCACCGTTGGACGTTATGAGTTCACCGTAAAATTATTTAGCGAAGAAAATTAGAAGATGGCCGGCGTATTCTATTATCCCTTGAAATTACGCGCGTAAACACCGAGCCCTGCACGGCCGCGCGACGATCCTCGGCTATAAACACCGGAAATTGCTACGATAATTTAATCACGAAGCCGAGGTGCGAATGACAGACGCGGCGGGCGAGTTTATCGGCGCGCGATGGTAACGAGAGCAGCCGCGACGCGAAGGGTCGCGTTTGTAATTGGGCTCGCCACCATCCATGAAGAAATTCGAGTCTACTCGTCATCGACGGGGTTCGATGTTCCGCGTGACAATGGCCGGACCACGTTCGATCGATCCAATTAACGGCCGCGCCGTTTGCTTCTCAATAGAACGAACTCCGAGGTTAACGCGCATGTATATTTTTAACCCTTCAATTGTGTACGGTGTTTTGTGACTCGCGTCGGGGATGGAAGGTGTGACTGTGTGAAAGTGTCGTTGGAAAATGTGGAATGAATATGTAGTTGGAAGCTGGTTTAACTTTGTTTTATCGAAGATAGCAGAGGATTTGAAAGGATTTAAAAAGTTTGAACATGTTTGAAGGAATTTGGGATGATTAGAGAGTATTCGAAACGATTTTAAAAATTTTAAAAAGAATTTGAAAGGATTAGGGAAGATTTGGACGGATTTGAAAGGTTTTTAAAAGCATTTGGAGAGGTTTGCAGAAATTTGAGAAGGTTACAGATTTTAAACGGTTCGAAAATATTCCGGAAGTTCCGAGGTAATTTCAAAACATTCCAAACAAAATTTCAGAAAGAATTTGAAAGGATTAGGGAAGATTTGGACAGATTTGAAAAGTTTTTAAAAGCATTTGGAGAGGTTTGCAAAAATTTAAGAAGGTTACAGGAGATTTTAAATGGTTCGTAAATATTCCGGAAGTTCGAGATAACTCCAAAACAATCCAAACAATTCCAGAGAGATTGGGCCGTTCAAAAAGTTTCAATAACCACCAAATAAACTCGTAAAATGAAGCACTTGCGTACGCGTGACGCGTCCTATCCCCGCAATCCCACCGCGAAATCCGCGTAACTTCAAACTTCATAAGTCCGCAGCCGCGGGTGTTGTAATTTAAATCTAGAACACCGTCGGAACGAGTAACCGCAGGTAAGCAGATTACAAAGAGGGCTTTAATCGTCTTAGAGAAAAATTCCGCTAAGAGCTCCGTAACAAATATCACCCTGGAAGTTCGCACTGGACACCGTGGAGCCAATGAGGCAGCGTCCTATAAAGGAAACGTTTCTCTTGCGCGAACGAGTGCTCTGGTCGAGGGGACTGCGCGAATTTTCTGGTTCAAAGACGAGAACGCGCCTTACCTGGCGCACACCTGGCCGTTTCTCTCCATTCGGCGCGCGACGCGACGGCGGAACGCCTTTGAACGATTTTAATTCCCGGCCTCGTTAGAATCCTTGGCCGCCGACTGCTCGTTACCGGCGGCCGGGAAACGTCGTAATTGTTAAAACAATAGAGCCGTTCGCCGCGGAACGATGACAGAACTACCTGCCGGCGGAATTAAATTTCGTCGCGAGCACGGAACTCGAAGGACTCTCCTTTCGGCCGAAGACGGTTACCGCGGGAAATGAACGAAACCCTGTTAAAGATTGAATATTTATAGAACGTTCGCCGGGAAAATTCAGCGGAAAATTGAAACTCTTTAATCGTGTTCGAGTGGTGGCAGTCGTGTTGGTTTTGTATCGGGCGGAGCTGCGGGGCGAGGACCAAGGGCTGATTCGAAGCGAGCAGCCGAAGGGCTGCGAATTGTGACGTTGATGACGGCGTAATGGATTTAAGCAAGACTGCGTGGAGGATCATTATGCAGTTGCGAGATTCTAATGGGATAGTCGCGGAATTTTATGGGACTAATGTCAGGTGGTTGGTCGATGCTGAGCTTCTGATAAGGGTGCGAAGCTGAGTCAGTGCATGGTACTTCTGCGTGAGCTATTATCTCGTTTAAAGTCTAATTGTCTTGCTTAACTCCTTAAGTCGAATGTTGTAATGACTTCAAGCTTCGATGTTTCGCCCTTTGCATTTTAGATTTTCACTGGTAATGCCCAATTTTCTAACGAACTGCACTAGTTTCTCTGATTACTTCACGCACTGATTATACAAAGTTTAATATGGAACTTCATAGTATTTCTGCGTCAAATCAACTAGCGACTGAGGCGCCTCCGAGTGCAAAGGGTTAAAATAGTAAGCTACAAAGGAATAATTTGATTAGAGTATTCAGAGATACGTTTTTCTACTTTCTAGAAATGAAGTCTCCGCGTGTAGTTTAACTGTCCATAAAACGAGTGTTTAGAAAATTAAATTTTCGCCCGCGAAGGGTTGACCTATTGCGTGTCAAGGTAAGGAGTTTACGACCCGTAAAAGGTTTGACGGTAGACGGAGAACGAACGGACCGCGCGGATCAAATATTTTCACGCCACCCACCTTCCAGCGGAGTCACCCTAAAATGTACAGATGTCACTTCGTTACGGTCTCTCGTCACGAAGAAAATTAGAGTCAGCCGGTCTCGCGAAATAATACGCTTTGCCGTGTGAACCGCGGGGCAGCGTCGACCGCGGTAATTTACGGGGCGCGTCTGTTGTCGCTCGTCACGGGGAAATATGCGCTGTCTTCAGGAACAGATAGAACGCAGCGGCGCGTTAAAAAATACGCGGTGCTCCGTGCGCTATCTAGCGACCGGTCCCGAACGACCCTGCGTCAGGGCTTCTCAAACTTTTCCGCTCGGCGGACAAAATGGCGCAGCGGCGATTTTCGAAGAACGAAGACGTAAAGTTTTTTAATCTTACAAAAATACGGCTAAAGAAACTTCGTGTCTCTACAATATTTAGCCTATGGAGGTATACAAACTAGGAATACGGATGGAAACGCTAAAAATCATCATTAATTAAATTTACACGCTTTACAAGTGTTGCTAAATTGGTTTGCAATTAGTTTTCGATCGTTGCGAGTCTAAGAACTTTTTGGTTTTGGTGAAACGGTATTGTATAACCGTGCGTTGCAGCGAACCTGGCACTCGTGACGTCATAGGGCGGAGACAGTCGCTCGGTAGCTCCGCCTATTCCCCTTCTACTGCTCCGAGACATCCAATAGCGAGTCTGGAAGAGACTCTGACGCGCAACGCGACTACCATGCGTGAACGCCGCAGCGAATCATACAGAAGGACCAAAAATTTGGCCACTCAGACGAGAGTGCCAGGTTAGCTGCAACGAACGGTATTCAGTTAGACTGCGCACCGCGTCGCGAGCCACGCTTTGAGAAGCCCTGGCCCGAATGACCGATGACGAGCGCCATCGCGTAATAAAGGGCCTCGTTACGGCTGCGGCGGGAAAAAAGAGCAAGACGCCGCCGTGTTTGATTAAAACAGTACAGAATTTATGGACAATATCTTCGGCGGTGCGTCGGTGTCCCGGGAATCGTCCCGGCGTCCATTAACATTTTAATTTCCCCGACGATTCCTCGCAGCGTACCGCGCGCTGCCGCCGCGAGCGTCGCCGGAGGAAGAGGGACGGATAAACAGGCGGAGTGGAAGCGAGAGGAGACGAAAAAAGGAGGAATTCAATTTAAAGATAAAACCGGGCCCCGGGGGAGCACGCATTACGGGGCGGAGACGTTTGTAATGGTCGCCGCGCGATGCTTTATCGCGGAGCCTCGCGAAACTCGCGAGGATGGCAATAAAGGTGGATTTGATTACGGCTGGAATTGCCGCATCAGCCGTGCGACTTGTCCACCACAATCGGGTTTTGTTCTACGGTTTAATGGTCTCCGGGATCGTTCCTGGTGATAGCGTCATCTTTTACCGTGTATCAACCCCATCACGGCTGTAATATAGTTAAGTCTTGATGCGAGTTTGAAGCTTCCGCCGCGCGATACCCCGGTTCTTTGCCGTTTCTCCCGGTCTGTTTCGCTGGAACTCGAAAGCAATCGATTTCCCATTTTGCACGGTGTTGGTATTAAGCAATCTAACTTGCTTCGACGCGATGTATCTCCGCGTGAAGTTATCCCGAGGAGAATGAGCACGGCAATCCTCTCTCGATGCATCCGACGTACGTCGCTTCTACTCCAATTACGCATCGCTTACAGGAATTTTCCTCTGTAACAATTAACTTCAATCCCTCTACGATACATCGCCATTTACCATGAAGAACATCCTCCGTTCACATTTAACCATAGTCAACCCCTGCGCAAAAACCGCGGCCCGTAAACTCTTCGCGAGCCATCGAAGAGGAAACTCGGAAGAAACGGGAACGCGTCGAATAAAAAGCAATAACCATCAACCATCATCTTCGCAAACCTTCGTCTCTCTTAAGCCGCCACTCGATGCCGAAAGAAATATCCGCCCGAGGGCGCGCGTTAGGATCATCCCCCGGCCCGGAGGCAGCGCGCGCGCGGCGCGGCGATTAAAAAGCAAAAACAGGGTCCGTAAAAAAGGCGGGCTTAGCAGAAGAGCGGGGAAAAAAGGTTGTGAACATCGGTTACGCGTTCGCCGAGCGTCGAAAGCTTCGGGCCGACCGTAATGGCCGCGGAAGGTTAATGGGCTTACCGAAAATTGATGGTGGCTGTGCAGGGTCGCATGAAATACGCGCACCGCGAACTTTTTCCCTCCGGCCGATGGCTTTCGCCGTACAATTTCGCTCGCTCGCTCGCTCGCCTCCCCCTTACTTTCTCCCTGTCCGCCTCGCGTTTCCCCCATTTTCCCGAGCAAGCGTGATTTTTCCTGAGAATATTCGCGACGCCATGTGCGCCGCACGAGTTCCCGTACGGCCGGACGGGTTCTACGCGAGTTCACGGCGACCACCGTGGAAATTGATTGACTTTTTCCTCGCGCCGTCAGTATCGGGGACATTTCCGCTTAAAAAATCGTCCCTTGTTATTGCACCGGTCTTCTCGACGTCCAATACGCAATTCTAAGTGGTTGGACTCCGTATTGCTTCGTGAGTCTTGGAAATCTTGGCGATGTGGATTTCTTGATATGGGAATCGTAAGGGACGCTTGTTATTGTCGAATGGAAAATAGTTGTGTTTTTAGTAATAAAAGTTCCGAGGAAATTCTATACTTTATATGTAGAATATTGATAATGCACTTAACACTAGAACTACCGAGCATTTAATACAATTAATATGCAATTCCTATAAAAATTGTTACAATAGATTATTTTCAGTTTCTTCAGACATTCATTATCACTAGGTTAGGTAAATGTTTCGGTCGGTTTTGGTTCATCCGATTACACGAATATATATCCTAATTGTCTATTTTTAAATTTATAATTTTCAAAATCTAAATAGGCGAATGTCAACTGTTCTAGGAACAATAGACTAAACTGTACCATAAATGTCCGTAAACCTAGTGTTATAGTACTGAAATGAAGCTATTTATTTTCAAAATCATTTCGAATATTCAATGCCTCGAAGACATCAATAATAAACAAAAATATCGAAGCGAGTCATTTTGACTGGTAGTTCTAGTGTTAAAACTCTAACCTTTCCTCACGAGATATTCCTCATTCTCCTGTAATTCTGTTTCTTTCTTAAGACAGATCCGAGTAAACTTCGATTCAATTCCAATCACAATCTCCGCCAAGAGAACCTAATTCCACTCACGATTCCAAGCACCGAAACGTCATCCGACCGCCAGCCACTTCCCACCCGCCATTACTCACGTCGCGTCAAACGAATAAAGAAACGACTGGTTTAATCCGCAGGTTCGTGACGAAATGGCGGCGGAAGGGATCGAGCCGCTCGAGGAGGAGATTCCATACGGAGACATAAGAGGCCGGGATTACTGCCGCTACAACGTGAAGCGGCTGATAGCTCCATAGCACGGCGGAAGGGTGTCCTACTAGACGAAACGGTGGAGGGGAAAGCGGAAGGAGCGAGGAAGAAGAAGAAGAAGAACAGCGCGAGAATCGAAAGATCGTTGTCTCGGCGAGAGGACACGGGCGTCCCCAATAGAACCGTTTCGATTCGCGCAGCCCCGCGTCAGCGAATGTCCCTTTTCTCTCCGGCCTTTTCTCCGCGTGCCGTAAGTAGATAGGCAAACTCGATTTTCATCGATGATTCCCGCGACACGGGGGAACCGGGGGACGACGTTCCGCGAGAAGACAGTCCCGGGGATCTGTTCGCGTCGGATAACGAAAGGCTGAGAGGAGGAGCCGGGGATATCGGAGATCCTCGGAGACCAACGCGAGACTTCGCCGTTCGAAGCTCTCGAACGGCCTTCCTCGAACGCTGGACCCGGGGAGGCCGTTCTAGTCAATAACGATTACGTTCAGGCCGAACGCGCGAGACCGGTTCACGGACGACACGTCGCAGCTGCGATTCCTTCACAGAGAAGTCCTTTCACTCTTCTGGCGAGACTTCGTATTCGGACGCACGAGCGATTTGCGGAGCGTCGCGATCGTTTTGAAACAATTTGGGCCGGAATTCTCTGCTATTCCCGAAACGAGACGTTTCGCAAATCGCTCTTGCTTTCGCCTCGGCCTATGCACTCGAGCAGTGATGCCGCGCGATTCAGGCGAATCGGGATCGCGTCGCTCGAGTGTGTAGATTCGAATTCTTTGAGAACGATCGCTGCAACTGCGTCGCGAACCGCTCACGCGCGTTCGGCCTCGTCTACGGGAGGACTGTACACAGAAAACGGACCGATCTCGCGAGCGACCGGCAACGATCGCGGTCCACGTGCGAATGGGAGCTGTTGACGTGTGTGAGTGCGTGCGAGAGAGTGAGGAGCAACGATGCTTGTACATACGGTACCTGAAGTCGAAGAACGAATTACTTGATCCTCGCGCGAATCACCGATCCTGGCGGGTGATACCGAAAGAAGAGAAGTGTTGAGTTGCTTTTAACAAATCGCGTGGCGAATTCGTTCGGGGAGCAGCGCGACGGGTCGATCGTCCGTCTCCGCGGATCGGAGCGGCGAGCTAGCTGTTCGCTTGGCCAGTCTCGGGGGAAATTGTCGCGAAGAGCGAGGGAGGATTTGATGACTGGCGAACGAGTGCTGCTGGTGTACTTCGCTGATCGTGAGTTGGCCGATTTCTCGTAAGCTAAACTGTTTCGCTAATAGTGTAAACCTTGGATAATTGCAGCAAGGAACCTTTTCATAGTTGCAACATTAGCTATCAGCATCACAATTTAATCGTTTATTGTCGACAGATGATTCTCAAAGTAGACGATTAGAATGTTTCCCCTATTCACAGTTGCGTTCTACATCTGACTTCTATCGCATAAGTAATTAGGATTCTAATTCTATCCTCTTCGGTGTCACTCTAATAAGAAAAACATAATCGTGAAAGTTTCCTTCGGAGGTGCAAAGTAACAAAGTGTGACTTTCGAGTGAAAAATCTCAAGTTCATTGTCAGCCAACACTAGAACTACCGTGCCAGTCATAATGACTGGTTTCGATTTGTTTGTTTATTATTGATATCTTCGAAGCAGTCTTCGAAATGATTTTGAAAATAGTTTCATTACTATAATGAATGTCTGAAGAAATTGAGAATAATCGTATTAAATGCTCGGTAGTTCTAGTGTTAATATTACCGAACGCTTCGATTGTCTTCCTTCACTGGCGTTGTCCTTTCTTACGCCATGCTCATATAATCGAATCGATTCGATCACTTCCTAATTACAATATCCAATCTCCCGAATTATGTTGCGATTATCCAATGTCCACTATGTAGAACAGCAGCGACTTCTACGCAGAGAACGAAGCAGACGGAAGAACGAAGTGCGATTTCGTTTCCGATGTTCACGGAAGATTCGCTTCGATCCCACGAGCGTCCAGCTTGCGCGCGTAGTCGGCGAGCTTACGATCGAACGTACTTTCCTACGGATTTTGCACGATGGAAGCTGACCAGGCGCGTCGCCGTATATCACGTTCACGGACCGACGAGCCACCGATACGCGTCTCGTTAATCGTAACCACCACTTTAAGACTCGTATATTGTATTAAACGCACCAGATAATATCCTTTTCTTAACGAATGTTTTTACACTCGAGAACTTTTAATATAGCCGAAATTTTAAGGACCGCCGCGTCGGGAACGAACAGAGAGAAAGAGGTGGAAAGAGAGCGTGGGAGCGGGGGAAACGGAAGGGGTGTGGCGGTTGTATCAGAGATGAATGGTCGACTTCCCTCGTGGCGTCGATGCATCCCGGTCGTTGATATTTCACTCGAGCGACTCGCGTTATTTTCCGTTACGGTACCGAGACGAGAAGGCGAGAAGGAAATGTACGGTGAGTTATTGTTTCGTTTGTCGATCGATTTAATAACGACCATTTCGTGTGCAAGTAGTCGTGATGAACGAAGCGGCCAGCCTCGTGTGAGTATATGCTAACATTTCAAACGTTACTGATACCCGAAATAAACTCGACGACTAATCGAATTACGGTCGTTGTTCAACTGTACGCTTGTCTACTTCTTTTATTCCAATCACCTTGCCCTGTGCGTGTTATCTTAATATTGTGCTGAAAGATTAAGACGTGTTCTATATAGTAGAGACAATGAAATTCATGAAACTATGGTGCTTGATCCTTGTCTGTTTCTGTTGGAATATCTACTAGTTTTAGATAATTTGGATAATTTTCATCTTAGCTGAAGGATAAAACTATGAAGTATGAGAATGATATAATTAGTTTCTTTACATATAGTAAAGTTTTAACCCTTTGCACTCGAGGGGCGCCTTACTGATTCGACGCAGCAAACTTATAAAATTTTCAATTCAATATAACATAAAATATTGAAATAAAATAGTTTCTAATTTATAGAAGATAATCAATTGTGTAGTTGCGAAAGATATCGTTAATATTTAGTCAGAAAGTAATGAATATTTTCAATGAAAAATATTGTCGAGTGCAAAGGGTTGATAATGCTACTATTAATATGAAGTATTAATATATAGTTTATTAATATGAATTAATGATGTATCGAGTGGAATTTTCTTTTTTCGACAAGGTAAAGTGTCTTTTCTTTTGTAGTTTTCTTTAGAAAGGAATAACGAACGATGCTAGAGCAGAGAATCGTCGATCGCGGCGCTCGAAGTAATAATTATCGGGAAGACAATGCTGAAAGCGGAAGTCGCAGTTAAACGGAATAAACGGGCGGGCTGTAAATGAAGCGCAACGATTCTCCAATTTAGGAGCAACAAAGGGCCTCGCTCGTTGCTGATTCACGCAACGCGTAGAAGCCAATCAAGTGCAAAGCACACGCGTTGAAATCGTAAACGCGTACCCGGTTTATTGGCATTTCGGAATCGTACGTGCTGTAAATTCCGACCGGGCTTGATTAGATTCTCGTCCCGTGGATTTGATAATGGCTGATTACCTATCAATCGGTTAAATCAATCGAGCCCAGTACAAAGTTTCCCGTAAACCGGGCCATCGGTCAGTCAAATTTTATCCTCAATCACTGCGACAGGCTCGATCGCTCTTCGTCAATATTAAAAATTACTAAATTACGATTCCGCAACGATCGCAACGAACGAATTTAAATTGCGCAACGAACATGGAACGAAACAATTGATTTGAGCAATCTATTTCTCACATTCTTCGTTAATAACATCTTCACTATAGATTATCACTTTATAATTTTTATTATAATTCATTACCTATTATTTCTAATTTCGAGATCGAGTCTTCATATTTTAAACACCAAGTCGCAAACGAATGATTTAATGACTCAAGCAAGAGATCGATACGTTCCCGTTTCTACTGTTCAAGCGATCGATATTTATCACAAAATATCCTATCTCATCAGAAGACGTAAAAACATTTCTAACGAAGAACTTCCGAGTGCAAACGGTTAATTAAATACACTCGACACCGAACGAATCCGAGCGGAGTACTTAATAAATTCAATTCAAACGACACTTCCATTCAATTCCAGCGCCCGTAAATCACTCCTAAGCAAGTTTATCGTGCGGCAAGTCCGGGTAAAAAATTCCTGGACGTTACGTTGACTTAGACCGCCCTCCCGCCGTAATACTTACCAGTTTTTCTTTATTGCCCGATACATCGAGGGCGCGCTCACGCGGCCGGCCGGCTGCCCGTTATTCCTAAAAGAACGCGCGTTAACGTCGCCCCCCGAAGTCGCAAAGTGGAAGTTTAAATCAGATTCGCGGCCGGCAAGGGTAACGAGTTTTCCCTTTCTAATCGTTTAAAAGTGGCCGGGACAAAAGTGTCGCGCGGAAGTTTGAAAGGCGAAAAAGGAGCAGCCGACGTTCCTGCGGTGATAATTAATTTCCCTCCCCTCAGCCCCGCCCGTCGCCCTACTTCTCCGCCCCTCGCCGACTCCCTAACGAGCTCGTTAAAAAGTTTTGACACGTTTAGACTCGGATTCGGCCCGCGCAAAAACCATTTAAGCTTCTTCCTGAATGAACAGTCGATCGCCTCTCCCTCGCGAACGGGCCGGTCCGCTTCGTTTTCACTCGCGTCGCGACTTCAGCCTCGCGCGACGCTCTTCGCGGGAAGCTGACTCCACGCGGAATAGAATATTGTTGGTTCAAAAGTCCCGGCCATTGACATAATTACGGGTTCTCGCTTAGAAATGATGAATTTTCAATGGTCTTTTTATACGACGCTGAATTATGCATCGACGTTTTGAGCAGTGGAACGAGAACGTGTATTAATAGCTCGTTATTCGAATGATTCAATTATTCAGCGGCGGCCTTTGATTTTGGATATCGGAGAGTTAATCCTGCTAATGTTTAGATTATTCTGATTCGGAACGGGTATTTGGTGTAGGTATTATGCGAGCGAAACGTGGAAGTTGATTCGAGCAATTCCGAGTGACGGTATTAAGGGTAATATTTCGGAGGGAAGTTTATCGTTCGGATCTTTCTGTTAATGACAAAAGTTTTCAGCAATCGGCTTCGAACTTACGTTTCTTCGGGCGGCTTTCAGTTTACAGGGAGTCGAGGAAATATTCGTCTCAGACGAAGAGTCCGATTGCTCGCGCAAAAAGACACTTAAGTCGATGCTGACTGATCGAGGGTAAGTACCGGCTTGATCATTTGCTCTTTTGTGATTTATGTCCGTGCAAACGTCGGAGGTTTTTCGAAACATTGCGTCCAGCTTTATCGTTCGTAGCTCTTTGATTTATGTTTTCATCGACGACAAAGATTGTCGGAGGCATACTGCTCTTTCCTAAAACTGCGGAAGCGTCATCAGCGCATTCTTAGCGCACATTGAGGGGAACGATCGCGGAAACCCTTCAGTGTGAGTGTGAACTGCGCTCGGATAACTTGGAGAATCGTTAAACTCAGGTGCCACGTTACCACTTCGGAAGCTTGGCTTTATGGGACGTCAATGGCACTCAGGACCTTTCCAAGGGGTGCCTAGCCGGAATAATTGCTTGCCAAATGTCAGAGATATACTTCGTCGCGCAGCTTTGAATTATTGCCATTATTATTTAGGCGCCGAGCACTTTGCTGCAAACGCAGGGTCACTTGACATTAGCATCTTGCTTTTCGTCGGTGATGATATGAAGAAAAGTGACTTAAAAGTGCGTATCTTCGAGAATTAATTTTAAATTAAATTTTGAATAAGAGAGGGATGATGTTTCCATTTTCAGTCGCCACTGGATTCGACCCAACAAAATGATAAAATTTCAGATTCAATATTAAATTTTATATAGTGCATCAATACATGGAACATCGAAATAAAATAGTTTTGTCACTTAATTTATACAATTAATTTCTTTATGTCAGCTGTGAAAAGTATCATTGATATCTTATCAGAAAATGCTGAATATTTGTTGAGATAAATATTCTCGAGTGCAAAGGATTAATATTATTCTTTTAATATCATTTAATACCAGAATCACCTAAGTTTTAGTCAGAAAATTTTCCAATTTTGAAGCTTCCACTCGTCAGCCCTAAAATTTTTAATAACTTCAATATTGAAGCAATTTTAGGTTCCAAGATTTTCATTGATACTAATACCAGGTGACCCAAAATTCACATGTTGAAGATATGAAAAATCTTGAGGCCAAGATGAACCTATGAAGGATGATCCGACATTCATCTCGAACAAACATTCTTGCGTGACTGATGAATTCCGGCCGATGATTGCGATGCCCGAGAAGCGGCGAGGACGTAAAGAGGTTGACAACCCGGTAGAGGAGAAAAGTACACGGGATAAGAGTCGTGGAAGGAAGAGGAATCTCGGAACAACGCGCGCCGCGAGAAAGTGGAAGCCAGCTCGCCGGGCTAGACTCATTGTTTCTCTCTCGGCGAGATATCGGTCGGGTTTATGGTGGAAACTCGACCTATAAATTTCATCCCTTAATACGGGGCTGCCGCGTATTATACGGAAGTGGCGGGTCATATCTCGCGGGCGCGAGCTCCAAGGGACGCCGTGGATACGCGCGATACTTTTCGGCCGCGGCGAGATTCTTCGCCGAAAAATTCTTACAACTGCGGAACGACAGTGCCGGCCACTTGGAAACTTCCGGCGAGCGATAACTCAGAAGGAGTCGCGGCGAGGGAAACTTTATGGCCGTTATAAACTTCGGGTAGGTAAAGGACATTATGCAACACCGAGTGACCGCAATTTCTGTGATTGGACGTTAACATTAATAAAGGAATACTGAGAAAGAACATCATGGACGATTTAACGATTTTCCATAGGAAATCTTCAGTGAGAATCAACTTTGTACTTTGTACTTCAATGAGAATCACTGTAATAGAACACAGAAGAATATTGTTGATCTCAGGAGACTAGATTCAACTCACTTTCAAAAGCAACGCGTCTTTCCCTCTTCAGGCAATTAGCTTCTTCCCGGACTCAAGAATTCAGCAACCCTATATTCAAGCAAAAAGAAAATAAGAGGAAAATATCATCATTATCACAAACTCATAAATCGCGTAAAACAATTTCCAACTGCATCCAACGAATGAATCGCGCTTACCTCGAGAAAGAATGCATCTTCCGTTCCCGCGGGCAATTAGCTCTTCTTCTCAAGGACTCCAGCGGCCGCTATATTTAAACAGAGAAGAAAAACGAGTAAAATCGGTCGGAGGAACATCGAACGAGCCAATCGCGCGGTCCGAGCGGTCAGCATCGAATATCGGTGGCCTGAATACCGGTCCTCGAGCCGCAGGAAGATGAGGCATCAAGTGGAAGACAGAGTAATGACCGCGCGCAGGAGGAAAAGTAGCCGGAGGGGTTGCGGTGGCCGGCAGAGGGTGAATTAATGCCGCATTTGCGTGGAATTTGCTGCGCCGTCGGGATCGGTCCCGGCTTACACGATCAAGAATCAAATATCGGCCGGCAGGCCGGCCGGCCGGGACGGCTTTACGATTCGGTCAATCGTAAACCCTGATAGCTTGGCCCCCGTGCTATCCAGGTCCAGCGGCGACAGGGTGGACCGGGAGTGTGCGAAACGGAGAGAAAGAGAAAGGGGGAGCGAGAGGGCCGCACGGGGAAACCATTTCCAGCGCCGGACCGCAAGACCGCGGCAACGTTTGACAGAATCCCTCTTCGTGAATATTATATCGCCGACGTGATTGAATCAATGCCGGCGCCGGAGGAATTCGATTCGATATTAACCCCGGTGAACGAGGGTCGAAGGATTCCGGGCTCCTTTTGCCGAAGGAAGAGTGGAGTAGGTGGTTCTGAAATACGAACAGAAATAAGAATTGCGATGAGACAGGGAAATTGGAGGAATCGTGGCAATAAGGATTGTTAGGTATTCGTGGTACTCGGGCTACCGTAATGGTGATCGAGCTTTGGCTATGAGTGGCCTTAACAGATTGTAATAAGGAAACGTTGACGAGGAAGAGGGATAGAAATAAGGATTATGATGGGAGGGGATGGAGTTACGCCCAAAAATGACAGTAGGGCACTCACCGTCGCTATGGCGTGAGGAACAAAAGGAGCCTCTACCCCGGGCCAATCGGTATGCGTGTCCGGCGAGTCGCGCTGATTGGCCGCTAGGTAGATGCTCCTTCCTATAAATATGCCGACTTCTTTCCTTGAGCATCAGTTAACATCGACTCGCGTAAACCACTCAGTCTCAACAAACGTAGAAACAAGCATCCAAAATCAACCTGTGTTGATGAGATTGTTAGGATCACTGTATTACTTCAACATTGTACTTTTAAGTGTGAAATCATATTTTTTTTGTGGAACGAACAGGAGGAATCGTAGCAATAAGATGGATTTGAGGGGCAGGGTTTTGATAAGGGACGGAAGTGTGAAAGAGATCGCAGGAATAAAGGTTACAGCGAGGAAGGAAATAGGAAAGAGAAGCTGCAGAGATGGGAATTGTAGCAAGAAACAAACGCTGTCGCGAGACAATCACGGAATATGAGTCAAGATAAGTGATACAAGCTGTCGCGGTGCGAAAACAGAAATAAGGGTTGTAATTATGTTTAGAAAGGGAAGTGGAAGAGATAAATTACGGGAATGGGAATTGTAAGGAGAAAGGAATAACGAAGGAGGAGCAGAAATAAAAATCATGGCAACAAACAATGGCCGTTGCAAGATAAAAACAGAAATATAAATCACGATAAGGAACAAGAGCTGTCGCGCAACAAACACAGAAATAAGAATTACGATAAGAAACAAAAGCGGCCGTGGAACAAGAACGGCAGATTTATGACACGAGAGGATAACGGGAAAGACGAATTGCGGGAATGAGAATTCTTTTTTCCGTCGACCGATCTTCGTCGCGGTGTATTCGCTCTTTGACTCGTTTCGTCGGTATCTTGACTCGGGAAATTACTGGTAAAGGGTGAATTTAAGGGTGAACTTTAGGAGCCAGCATGGAAGTATTGAAATTTTCTATTTTTATAGTTTCGGAACTTCGGAAAGTTCCGAGTGAATGCGATATCGACGAAGTTTGAAGGGTTTAAAGTATTCGGTGCAACAACTATGAACGACATTTTCAGGGCGCATGGCTGAAGTATCTGGAAATAAAAGTAATGGAGATTGCAAGTTTATTTCCGAAGCGAAAATCTAGCGCGCGAAAGGTTTTCATTTCGTTCTGGGATCAATTTTCAGTTGGCAGTTGGAGAGGCGAGTAAGTTCGTAACTGGAAATCGATACCTTAATTGTTGACTCCTGTTATTTTAACGGGAATGCAGTTTTGAAATATTTGGCTTCGCGAATCCTGTACGATGCAACGTATAATCTGAAAATATCGAATTTTTTATTTCGAGTAATCCAAATCCGAGCAACCGTGATCACCGGAAAACACTATCGAAAAGGGGCTTTGCATACATCCTCCGTTTTCACGAGCGTTTTCCATTCTTTTTGCGTGAAAAAATCATGCAATATCATGGAACTGTGTTTTTCAAAATGGAACAAGGTGTATCGGGAAGAGTGTATCAGCTTTCGTTGGAAAAATTCGTAAATATACGTAAACCTCCCACGTTTCTAGGCTTTAAATTATCGACGAGGCATCATTCCCTCGCCCCAACTTTCGAATTTAAGCTACTCAAGAATTTATCTCACGCTGACGAATCCGATCATGGCGCCAGTCAAACGGCGGGGATCCGAAACGGACTGAAATATTTATGCGCACCCGGCCTTTGAGAGATAAGCCTTCCACTCTGGAATCCGGTGTCTTAACGCGTATCCGGCTGGTACCTTTACTACTGAACAACGCAACATTTAACCTTTAGCACTCCAGGTTGTTTAGTAATCTATCAGCAACTGTAATTTTTATAGTATTCCCAGCGAAAATGAGAAATGTCATAACATTTCTTCGATCTTTTATTTTCCTTGTTAGTACGAAATTTGGATGCGTGGAAAATCGAATAATTTTAGGGTAGTTTCTTTAAGATTCATTGAAATATTCAATATTATAACTGGTGCAATATTGGAGCCTATAGAGATCAAAGGGTTAACGTATTTTTTCCTGTAAAAACACTTATGGTTAAACGTTTCATCGTGATTTAGAGAAAGAATCTAATAATCGTAAAATTGTCTCAAGTTTTCACGTTGCTTCGCACAATTCAAAGAACGCGTTAACATTTTCCACCGCTCGAACAGTGCTGCGAACAACCCTTCTCCGTTGTCCCCGAGTATTATGCGTGGGTTTCGAGGTTCCCGTGTTTCGAGATCTGCGCATAGCCACGGGGAGATTCCAGAACGGATGCAAAGCGGAACAGGATCAGCTCGCGGAAGTTTTAAACGGCGCCTCCTTTCTTGCGGCCGGCGTGGATGCATACAAACTAGCCCGGCTCGCTGAATCGGGAAACAAAACTGTCGGTCATTGAATAAATTACGAAGTAAATGAAACGCAAATCCGGTCGCGCCGCTCGTAACGGTAACGGCATTATCACACAAATTAAATGGAACAACCTATCCCGGCCCCGTAATACCCACCGCAATATCAGTCAAGGTACCTACGAAAGCGACCCGCCATTTTGTTTCTTTTTTTCGTTACTAGATACAGGTAGGATACGTACCGTTCGTTGCAGCGGACCTGGCACTCGTGACGTCATAGGGGCGGATAAGAGACATCCAATTGTGAGTCGGGAAACGGCTGTCCCCACTCTGTCGCAGCGAATCACCTTCCAGAAGAGAGAATCCGTGTGGATAGGGCGTGGCCTTTAAAATCCGACCACTTAGACGAGAGTGCCAGGTTCGATGCAACGAATGGTAGTGGTCAAAGGTTTTTGGCCAGGTTGTTGGTTAATTGAATCTGTCACATCGATGCTGTGATTAATGCAAAGTACTATACATTGAATTATTGTAATAGTAAACAAGGATTATTTTCTTGTTTCAACTCTCTGGAGAAAACCTTTGAAAGTGATAAATTATTTATTTCTAAGAAAATATGTATGAATAGATGGGATTGATTTTTGTAATCCTCTCATGCAGTATGTTCTTTATATATCATGACAGAAAGTTCTTAAACCTTTGTGTAAGGAAAGATCCAAAATCTGTCCGGGAACTTTTGAACGCCATTGTGTTTATTCAGTGTACCGAAGTCTGCTTTGCGCGGGGACTTCCTGTTTCCTGAAAACAGAATACTCGGTTAGTACATCAACAAGCAATTGTTATGCGGAAAATGGCGTAGACTCGTGAGGGTGTAGTCATGATTTTAAATGAACCTAGAACGTTTGTTGAACCAACATTTCCGATTTAGATTATTAAAAATGCAATGACTATAGAAGTATAACAAATGTTTACTTCTTATTTCTATTCGACTAACTAAATCGCTTCAATTTCGATTCGACTTCGACATTAATTCATTTGACTCAATTGAACAAAATTAAACCAATCTAAAGTAATCACATTTATATAACACACGATCAACAGAAGGTGTAATTGAATTAGAATTCACTTACGTTTAGTCTAAGCAAGCTTCGATGCAGTTATTCTGAATAACACTGTACAACCTATGGTAGCCAACAGTACACTAAAACCAAATGCTTAACCCTTTGACGACGAATGTCGTCATTTTGGCGACATCAAGCTCTGATACTTAGAACGCGAAATAACAAGAGATCAGTGATCAGTTTTCTCTGTCTCCGACATATAGAAATTTGTTATACAATTTAACTGCCTCTGCGAATGGTTTTTAATACTTCAAAAAATCCACGTCCGCAAACGTTTAAAACGCCTTTAGGCAACAGTAGCCGAAAGGTTAAACACCGTAAGAAAGTGAATTCCCGGAGTCGGACCGAAGACATTTTTAATCCCCGAGCTCTTTGCATATCGAAACGCAACATTAGCGGAATGAAAGGGATTACTCCGTTAATAAACGCATTTCAGGGGTATTCACGAGGTCCGTTATATTCGCTTAATAGCGTTAGACCGGCTTGATTCAGCTGGAAGGGCGCGGGAATTTTTAATCTACTTGAAACACCTTAAATTCATAACGCGGCCGAGTTATGTCCGCGCGAATGCGGGGCCGGCGAGCAACCATTGTACGGATTATCGAATTACCATACACTTTTCCTTGGCGCTCCCGTGTCCTCTCGCCAACAGGCTTTTATTTCCCTCCCCCGACCATGTCGCGTGCGTACACACGTGTACGGGGTGTCCCGAAATGAGATGTCACGATCACGGCGCAGGTTAGCTTTCATTTAACACTAACGCTACTAGACGGGTCAAAATGATTCCTGATTTCTTCATTTTGTGATTATTCCATGTGTTGGTAGATTATAGAAAATTTAATATTGAATTGTAAATTTTATAATTTCGTTGGGTTAAATCAAATGGCGATTGAAAGGCGCCGCTCGAGTGCAAAGGGTTGAAGTCTCAACAGATGGAGCTTCTATAAAGAAATTTCAGAAAGTCAATCTATACTACTGGGTAGTTTTAGTGTACACGTGTTGTAAATATTGTAAATATTAGAATAACGGTGATAAAAATAATAAAATAATTTTTGCTGCCATACATATGACGCTTATATGACATCGATCCCTCAAGGGTTAATATTTTATTCCTTAAACACAAAGATAGTTCGTAAAATATGTAAGTACCGAATGAATTATTGATTCGATATCACAGTTCCCAAATTACACAATTATTTAGTTACTCATGGACACTGGACATCGCTGTATTTTTTTCCAAGGTCAGAATATATTTTTTGACACCCTGTACACGTGGGCGCGACGGTGGCCACCACCGTTCCCCGGGAACGTGATTTCCCGGGAAAAAGAAATTGAATGAGCGCAGTTCATGGCGCGAGGAATTCTGTATCGTTATCCTCCGGGCGAGACGCGTGCAACGGCGACTCCGCTTTTACGATCGTCGCGTGTGCTGCTAATGTTTTGCGCGGCTGGCTTGGTAATCCTCTTTAGATGAACTTTAGAACTGCGGAACGATCTTTAGTCCGTCTGGCTCCAATTTGGAAGACTTACAGTGACTCGCGGGCTTCTTCGCCGATTTTTCAAGTAATTAAGTGGAAACTTAGCGTGACTAATTTACTGGGAGCTTAACCCTAGATTTGCGGGAATTTCTTGTACACTAGTTCCTACTGGTTCTAAAGGAACAGATATTTATACGTATAAAACAACTTCGTAATTACCGATCAATCGAAACTGATGTGAACTGTAACCAATGTTTAAAAAGTTGAATATTTAACCCTTTGCACTCGACAATATTTTTCATGAAAAATATTCATTACTTTCTGACTGAATATTAACGATATTTCTCGCAACTAACACAATTATCTTCTACAAATTAAGAGACAGAACTATTTTACTTCGATGTTTTATGTGTTGATACATTACACAATGTTTAATATCCAATTGAAAATTTTATAAGTTTTTAATATTACAAAGGGTTAATATTTCAAATTAAAGCTCGCATTGCTACGTGAAATATTTAAATAAAACACCTCTGCTTAATTTATCTATGAATTATCCTCAAATCAGTTTCAAACAATACGACCTATATCTCGTCAGAAAATGTTGAGTATTTCCATTGAGAAACTTTCGAGTGCAAAGTGTTAAATAACCAACCAGCATCGAATTCGCAGTAGAGAGTGACACAACAATATTCTCCCGCAATTTGCAGTAAGGAGTACACGTAACAACGCGTTCTACAGTCCGCCGGTGCAATAAATATTTCCCGCAACATACACGCGCGCGCGGTACACGAACAACGCATCGCAGCGATCGAATATATACGTCCACGGTACACGAAGAGCGTTTCATGCGGCGCGTATATATGCGTCCACAGTAGCGAGAGGGTTAAACAGAAGATGGTTGGCTTGACCCGACGGTATAATTAATTGTTGCCCGACTGCGATTCTGTCAGCTGACTACAACCGTTTCCGGCGTACATTGTGCGCATGGCAGTGCGCCGTTATAGTCGCTAATAGCGTACAACAAATACCCCGCTACGGAAACAACAAATCAACCGTTCAACCTGCGATGCATTAATCACATTTTTATACTGTCCTCGCATCTCATCTTTAATCATCACTTCAATGAAAGAAAAAGTAAGTTATTCCTGTTACTGGGTCACCTGTGTCGTTCAATTATTATTACCCACAACGCTACCGTTCGCCCTGGCCCGGTTCGCTGGAAAAGGATCAGCGAACAGTCGAAAGGGCACAGGTCAGCAGTTCGATACCCCAGATTTCGCGAGTGATCGCCGGTGCTCCGTGTATCGCTCTGTTTTTTTCAGTTTCCTTTGTCCATTGCCCGATAACAATATCGTTTCATTAGAACGTACGAATGGAGATTGCGCAGCACGAATCGAAACAGATTTCATTGTCGATATTTACGGTGCAATCTGGTTTCAATCGCGCTTATTAATATTAGAAGTACGGAACGGTACGAGTGACTAGTTTGTTATTACAATTGAAAGAATACATTTCTTGAAACTCGAAGAGTTCCTTATTATTGATCCTATATAAATGTATCATTGAGAAATTCTCGCAGTAATGTTAATAAAATTGTAATATATAAACCTCGACGTTAGCTTCGACCTATACACAGTGGCTCTGATATTAAAAATATACAATCGATGCAAGGAATAACGAGGTAAGGTTTCTTGAAAAATATCCATTTTATTCGGTCTCTAGATACTTTTCCAGGTACATATAAATATATAAATATATATATTCCAGTTGCGCGTCCTGTGTCAATATATATGTATATATCTATAAAATCGAGTGCACGCGCTATATCGGCGATATCTGTACAAAGTTTAGCGATCAGCGTCGAACAGTATAGGAATACCGTTTCTGGTAAAGAGGCGACCGGTCGCGTCGCGAACGTGTGGACGCGGAACGAAGGGGAAAGAACGGAGACGCTCCTACGAAGTGATATCTGTCCGCGGAATAGAGATTCTCGAAATTCTCTCTCTCTCTCTCTCTCTCTATTTCTCTACGAATCACGCACGAACGAGACCACCGGGCGGTCTGAATACTGCGTTCAACGTATTCACTTTTCCTCCTCTTTTACGTACACCTGACGAATCGTCGTTGTCCGTCGTCGGTGGTTTCAACATTGATATAGCCACCCTTTGAGGACGAATGTCATCGCACGGACACCTCGCGTTAAGTGTAATACAGAAGGTTGGAAACAATTTCATTGTTCAAATAATAAAAGATATACGGTTTCCTTTTCCTTAAAGTATTTAATTTAATTTCAATTTTAATTTGATTTCAGTTGTTACTGTAACTGTAATTTTAATTATTTTGATTCTATTTCAGTTTTAATTTAATTTCAATTGTAACTGTAACTGTAATTTTAATTATTTTGATTCTATTGCAATTTTAATTTAATTTCAGTTGTAAGTGTAACTGTAATTTTAATTATTTTGATTCTATTTCAATTTTAATTTAATTTCAATTGTAATTGTGACTGTAATTTTAATTATTTTGATTCTATTTTAATGTTTTATTGATACCTAGCTTTGTATAACACATGTTCCGATTTAGATTTCTATTTTAATTACGAAGACTGAAAGAATTGAAATACTTTTGAAAATCTCCGTCCGCAAAGGGTTAACAATGCTTGTTTATTTCTTTATTTCTTTGTATAAAT